TTTCCCTAGTGTGTATATGTGAAGAGAAAACTGTTTTCTTTCTGCCTAACTTCTGCTTCTGCCAGACTTCCACAGCAGGGTAATATTGCTGCCTGGGAGATGGTCTGTTAAGGGACGTTTCCCAGCTGCATTGCTTTGTCCGTCCTTCACCAGGTCCTCTGGTTCCATTTTGATCTTGCTGTTTGCTGTTCCTCCCAGCTTTAGTTCTGTGAATTCCAGTCATTGTTTACCAGCTGGCCTCTGGGTTTGGGTTTGCTCATCTTTTAGATAAACAGGGATGTTAAGCAAGACTGGACTAGCGGTGAACCCCAGCGCCTGTCTGTCTGACATTGCCCTGCGATCGGTTGCCGCTGGGAAATTCATAAATAGCAGTTGGGACTGTATGTTTTAGAGATGACAATTTCTCACGGCAGAGCCTGGCTTACTGATGGCAGAGCCTTGTTTGGGACTTGCGTGCTTGAGAAGCATCTATCTCCTTATGGAGTTCTACTACAGGCTTCTCTAATATGTTGTCACTGTCCTGTGCCTCTTCTCACAGGAGCAGAGAGAAGAAATTGCCACCTTGGAAACCATCAACAATGGTAAATCCATCTTTGAAGCCAGAGTGGACATCGACATATCCTGGCAGTGCCTGGAGTATTACGCAGGATTGGCAGGATCTCTAGCTGGTGAGAACGTTACTGGAGTTTGCTCTTTACTCTCTGTCCTGCCGCTTGTGTTCCCTGGTAATTTCCATGGCATAAGACCATCTTTGCTGTTGATTTCTCTAAGAGATGGACTACCCCTTTTTCTGAAGATCTTGGAAGGATTTTCAGAGATCTCTACCTAATGCTGCTGTGCTCTGTGGGCACTTACCTTCTGTGAGCTTACTGGGGTAAAAGCCGTGTGTCTCTTGTTCCCAATCAAAGCGAGATCTGGCCCCTGAGGCTGTGATAAGACAGGAAGGGGCTTGGCTCTTATCTACCTTCTTGCTGTTTCTTTTCTTTGCAGGTGAACACATCCAGCTTCCCGGGGGATCCTTTGGGTACACTCGGAGAGAGCCCCTTGGGGTGTGTGTTGGGATTGGAGCCTGGAATTACCCTTTCCAGATTGCCTGCTGGAAGTCTGCCCCGGCCTTGGCTTGTGGTAATGGAGACACTCTGCCCACACTAGCTTCTCTTTGAAGCCAAATGATCCTGTGGGTAGAGTGATTTGGGGGATGAAGTCTAGGATTACCTTGAAGGAGGTGTTGAAGGATTAGCAGAAACTTCAGGCTGTTACTTTGGCAGGAAGGGAAAGGAAATGGAAATGGGAACATGACAGATGGTAAGAGGGCAGGAGCGTGTCAGGAAAAAGGCTGATTGCTTGGCTTTGTACCGGATGAGGAAGGTCTCTGGAAAATATCTGCAGTGCAGGACCAGTAGCCCCATCTCCCCCAGCCCTTCCCAGCAGGAAGGTGCGGTTCCTCCCTTTCACTGGTTGTGGTGTTCAGCTGAAACTGTTTCCTCCTCTGTTGGGGGGGATCTTCTGGGATCTGTTGAGACAAACTCATTGTGTGGGGTGGTTGGTTTGTTTGTTTGTTGTTCTTTTCCCTAAAGCAGTTTGGCTGTTAACCCCGCCTTGCCTCTGTCTGGATTCCCCTAGGCAATGCGATGGTCTTCAAGCCCTCTCCCTTCACCCCCATTTCGGTGGTGAGGTTGGCAGAGATCTTCACAGAGGCTGGTGTGCCCAAGGGGCTCTTCAACGTGGTGCAGGGTGGAGTGGCCACAGGCCAGTTCCTCTGTCATCACCCAGATGTGGCCAAAATCTCTTTCACTGGCAGTGTGCCAACTGGCATCAAGGTAAAGGCACCTTCTGACTCAGTGACACAAGGGGTCTGTAATGCCAGCCTTCCTGGTCTGCTGTGGATGTCGATACCTCCTTGAGCTTTTGTGCCTGAGGCTTGTAAAGATGGGGTGTGAGTTGGCATTTTTGGGTCTGAGCAAGGAACTTGCATGTGCGGGGTTACACTGGGGCTCCAGTTAGCCCACTGGGCGTGGGCTTGGGCACTCGGTCCTTTCAGAGGAGCCCCTTGGCCACCTTTACTTGTTTAGCCCCTGGTTGCAGTGAACTCTCTGAGCTGCTAAAGTGGGTATCTATGTGGGGAGGAGGGTACCTAAAACAGAGCAGCACTGGGAAAATGTGTGAGCATTTCTGGCAGTAATAGTTCAGTTTAGCTGCATACAACCTGCTGTTTTTAAGCAAGAGGTTAGTTTCTGTTCATTTCTTACCCTCGATTTATTCTTCAAAAAATTAAAAGTCCCTAAAAAGACTTTTAAAAATAAATTCTGATTTGAAAGAGGGGAAAATGTTGCCCCTTGAACTCTTCTTACATGTGTGTACCTGTGGGGTGCAGTGACACAAATGCAGTTATAGTTGTCCCCTGGGCTTACGCTGAGGATGAGACTTCCTGCAAATGACTCTTCAGGTTTTCTTGCTTTTATCTGTAAAAAAAACAAACAAACAAACAACCAAACCCTCTGAGACTGTCCCCAGTCTGAACGAAACACATCTAGGAAACCCAGCTTGCCCTTCGTGCCGCATCTGTTGTTGGTGAAGGGCCCTGCGGGAGCTGTCCCCTTGGGTGCCTCTTACCTCCCTCCACCAGCCTCCCTTGCCAGTGGGTCACTTGTCTCTTCTGTCCTTGTTTCCATTAGATCATGGAGATGGCAGCTAAAGGGATCAAACCAGTCACTCTGGAGCTGGGGGGCAAGTCCCCCCTTATCATCTTTTCGGACTGTGCCTTGGAGAATGCCGTGAACGGAGCCCTCATGGCCAATTTCCTTACTCAGGGTGAGGTGTGTGTCCGTGGGGCAGGAGTGGTCCTCCTCGCTGCGGTGGGGCAGTTTGAGAACCGGGTGGCAGAGCCAGGCTGTGATCTTGCATGATGAGGGATACCCCGAAGCTCCCATCTCGCCACTCATTTCCCTATGCAGTGTCATAAGGGACAGAAGGGACACCCTTACAGAAGCCAGTGCAGGGTGTCCCAGCAGAGCATCCCTTAGCCGATGCCCTGGCCTTCGCAGAAGTGGAGCCTCTGTAGCACCCAGTACCCAGCTCAGAGCAGCTGTGCCTTGGGCTCCAGTCTGGCACACAGAGGTCAGAAGAAGCTGTGCTGGTTTCCTCTGGAGGGGCAGCAGGTTCCAGTCTGGTGTGCTGAGCCACAGCCCTGTGGGGCTCTGTCCATCCCAAATTTGGGATCTCCACACATGCTGCAGGTTTTGTGTAATCCTGCTGGCAAATTGGCTTACTAGGGTTGTCTCTGGGAGCTGAAAAGGCTGCTAAAGGTCTCTCCTGCTGGTGACTTGATGTGTTTTTGCCACCTGGTGGCATCAGTACCACTATGTCCAGCACAGACTGTTCAGTGCGGTCATGAGCAGCAAGGTAATCTAGTCTTCTTTGTCCTCAGGGACAAGTTAGCTGTTTTAGCAGCTGTGGAGGGGTTTTTCTGAGAGCCTCTGTAGCAGGACCCAAGCAGGGAAGGACTGTGGAGTGCTGTGTATCTTATTCTGAGCAGCTTGTCCTCTATCCCAGGTGTGCTGCAATGGCACGCGGGTGTTTGTGGAGAGGAAGATACTGGATGTCTTCACAAAGGAGGTGGTGAAACGCACCCAGAAAATCAAAATTGGAGACCCGCTTCTGGAAGACACACGGATGGGAGCCCTCATCAACCGGCCCCACCTGGATCGTGTCCAGGGCTTTATCAAGCAAGCAAAGGAGCAGGTGAGATTGTGATGCTGCCTTGTGACTGCCCTGACATGTCTCTTTCTTTTTAGACAGACAGACTGGCAGCTGCTTTCCTGCCCCATGCCTTCCCAGTTAAGCTGTTCGTTGTGGTTGAATTACTGTATAGGTGTCTTGGGCCACTAGATTAAAAGTGATCCAGTGCACGTCTCTGAATCAGCATTGAAGGTGACATGGCTTTTCATATCCTGAGATTGCCAGGTTTTAGAGGCTGAGAGATACTCAGCATGTCAGTGTATAAAATGGGATAATCTATAATGTTTGGGCTGGTTCTAAGTTGTGGTGACACTTTGCACGCTTGGCTGTTACCTCATTTGGGTTCCAGTTTTGTTGGTTGCAGAAAGAACTTACTAAGGATCAAAGGCCAAATTCACAGGCTGCTGGAAACAATCTTTGTAAGAGCAGTAAGATCTACCTAGGCTTTTTTGGTTTTTTCCTCCAGGTTTTATTGTAAAGTGTAAAGATGTTTTAAATGTCAGTGCTAGGTATATGACTAGGTGCAGCCAATTTGGGGATGGGCTGGAGAAGGGGAACTGTGAGTGAAAGCCAGGAGGGCTAGATGAGGGTTTAGAAACAGGAAGATGGATGTGGAAGGAGAGGAGAACTCCCCATTTCTAAAGTGGGGCATTTGATGGAGGTGGGTGTTTCTTGCCAGATGGTGTGCGAAGGGACTGATTGACTCGCTAGCGAGGGAGCTCACACCACATGAAGATGTGGAAGTTAATGTGAGGCCAGCTGAGGATCTGCTCCTAGTTGCAGTTGCTTCTCTCCAACCTACACTGGCTCCTGTGGTGCTTGCACCCCAAACCAGCATTGTTTGGACTTTTAGGATGGGTCTCACCCTGATCTGTCAGTGATGCTCTGTCAGCAGTCCTGACCTGGAGAGACACCAGGGAGGGCACAGGCAGGGTTTGTCCGATAGAACTGTAAACCCAGCAGGGAGTATTGGCCAGCCAGAGTTGTGGCAGCTGGGCAGGATGCTCCTGGACGTGCCTGCCTACCTTCTGCTTGGCTCTTTTTCAGGGGGCAGAGGTGCTGTGTGGTGGGGACCTGTACGTGCCAGATGACCCGAAGCTGAAGAATGGCTACTACATGCGACCCTGTGTGTTAGGTATGCGCCTTCCTATTCATGGTACCGCGGTCTGCTACATAGATGCAGCCGAGTTTCTTCTAGAGAAAGCTGTGTTCAGTGTAACCTGTCTCTGTGAATGTCCGCAGTGTGGACAGGCACTCGTAGGGGTGTACTAGAGAGAGCTGAGGCACCCAAGAGCTGCATCTAGAGAAATCTCTGCTGTTGGAGGGTCTGATAGGACACGTGCCTTTGCTGCCTTGAGATGCAGGATGGCACTTGTTCCTCTGCTAGCCAAGTTGGGGGGGCTGAGTGCTGTCTTGAAGGCTGTGTGGGGTGCTGAATGCACAGGCTGTGCTGCTAGCTTTTCCTCCTGAAGCACGCATGCTCTACCATGCTTCCAGGGAACTGCACGGATGACATGACATGTGTGAAGGAAGAGATCTTTGGGCCTGTCATGTCCATTCTGCCGTTTGACACAGAGGAGGAGGTTGTGGAGAGAGCCAACACCACCAAATTTGGCCTGGCAGGTGGTGTCTTCACCAGGTATGACTGGGTAGCGTGGCTGGTGTGGAAGCAGTCTAGGGAGGGGAGGAAAAGGGAAATAGTGCAGCAACTTGGTGCTCATCTTGCGGTGCCCGGCATGGGGATAGATATCCTCTTCCAGAAAAGCTGGAGCAAGGGGTTGCCAAAAGGGAACTTTGTAAATGACTGCGCATCTCCTTCTAGTTTTTCCTGAAGGGGTAGGTGGACCCAGCTGTCCTTCAGACTCCTTCCAGCCTGAGCTTGGCCTGCTGCCTGCCTTCCTGCATCTCCAGGAGACATGCACCACGAGCCTGCCATGCTGCTGGAAGTGCGCAAAGACGGCTGTTGGCCGCTTGCCATAGTCTGCTTTGCTGGTGTCTTTGTCCTGCCTTCTCAAATCGAATGCAGTTTTGAGTGTCCTTGGGAATAGGTGCTACGTCCTTTGAGCAGGCAGAGACAGAGTAGGGCAGGTTGGGATCCAAGAACCACTGCGACCTCCACTTTCTCTAGTGGAATGTTAGCTGGCAGGGAAGGAGGGGATTAACGGGAAGGGATCCAGCTGAATTGCCCTTTTCCTGCAGGGATATCCAGAAGGCTCACAGGGTAGTGGCTGCTCTCAAGGCTGGGATGTGCTTCATTAACAACTACAACATCAGCCCTGTGGAGCTGCCTTTCGGAGGATACAAGGCATCAGGTGAGCTCTATTTGGCCTCCCCTGGGCTCGGCCCTCCTGCACACAGGGGTGAGGATGAGCGTATTTCTGTGATGGTGGATGCGAGTGTTCTCTTGCTGGGGCAGCGGTGCACTTAGCTGTGCCTCTAAGAAGTGAATGCCACACTGGGAGCTGAAAGGGAAGCTGGGGAATGGATTGCAGCTTTGTACTGAGAAAGCAAGGAGGCGAGCTTTAATATACGTGGCCTTGCTTGCAGCTGAGCTCATCCAGTTATTACTCTGGGCTTGATTGGGAGTGCTACCTTGAGGTGGCACTTGCACTGAGCACGTGACTTGTGTTCTCCCTGGTATGACTACATGCCAGTTACGGGGGTATGAGTGGTACCTGGCACTGCCTAGAGCTGTGTTCTCACTTCTGGCTTGTCCCTGCAGGATTTGGCAGAGAGAATGGGCGGGCAGCCATTGAGTACTACTCACAGCTGAAGACTGTCTGCGTGGAGATGGGCGATGTGGAATCTGTGTTTTAGTGGCTCTGGGGCCTGCTCAAGGGAGCATCAGCCAGTTCTTGCTTGTCAGCCAGAGATGTGGATCATTTACACAGCAATAAAGTGCTCTAAAATTGTAAGTGCCTGGGGGGGGGAGCGCAGCTGGAGCAGCATTTAGCCACCCTGCTCCTGCAAGGGGGAGTGTACACACGGCTTAGTCTGTGGGCCTGCTTTGTCCTATCTGGTGGAAGATGGGAACCTCAGAGTAGGAGGTAACAATATGGCTTGCAGCAGCAGCACATGTGGCTAAGTATGTGTTACCAGAGGCTTGTCAGTAGCAGAGGCCCAGCCCAGGCTGCTTCCCCTGCTGTGCGCCTTGAACCCCATTGTCTGCCTCCGTCAACTTCAGTTTTGGCTTAACAGGTATGACTCTACTCAATGCGCGTATAAGCTCTTGGACACATTGACATTCTGTAGCTATAGGCTCTGTCTATTCTCTGACTACATAAAAGCCTTAAGGGTAGGATTGTTTTTTCCCCCTCTAGCCTTCTTTTAAACACAAGTTTTGTTTTTTCTATCTGTACTTTACTTCCAAGGTGGGACAAAATATTGTGGAGATTGTGAGCTGATGCTGCCTGGGACAGGCATGGCCCTGAGAATCATCTCCACGCACAGAGTATGGAGCACAACTAGATGATAGCAAGCTCCAGCACAGGATAGAGTGCTGCCTATCTTAAGTGAAAGCTATTTGACTTCCTTCCTATAGGCCTACTGTTCTTTACAAACATGATGAAGCAACAACTTTAAATGTTTGCCTACATCTTTTTTTAGCAAACAAATAAATATTAATTCTTTTTGGAACATCTTATTAGGGAGCGACATGAATTGAGCGCTGCAGAAATGTAGTCTGATAGAGAGCAAGGCTGTTGCTGCATGGGTTAAACAAATGGATTGCAAGATGGCTTTTTGGTCACCAAAATCATAAAAGCTCGAACACCTCTGCCTGACAGGCAGATTTCTGTAGTTCTACAAAACCAGAGTTGTTCTAGTGTTCTGCAAAACTTATTAAGAAAGCTCTCTATAATTTTAGAATGAAAATACGGAATTGACAACTGCATTTTATTAAATTGAAGAAAAAACCCCAAACAGATGGGAAATGAAATGTTCCAAAAGAAAACATAACAAAAATCCCTTTAGTTTCCCGGACAGCTGTCACAATGGTCAGTTAGTCCTGGCGGATCCAGCCAAGGTGCTGGCAAGCTGAACACACACCTGTGCCCACCAGCCCAATGAGTGCAGCTGAACCAATGGCCCCTCTCATTCGTTTTTTTGGATCTGGAAAAAAGACATGTTTTGTCAGTTCAGCAGCCCATCACTGAAAGACTAGCCCATCCTGAAAATTAGAGGGAGCAGGAGCTAGAGATAAATTTCAAGGCAAAACAGCAGGCACCAGCTCAGGCCATGTACCTACCCTCAGTCTCTGCTATTATTAGATTAGTGCTCTTCCTATCAGTAGGAAAAGCGTACTGCAGAGTTAGCAGCCTGTGGACCGGCACCCTTTTTTCTACACCCTGACTGGAAGCTTTATGCTGCTTCCTTGATGTGAGCTGGAAGAAAGAGCCCTGAGGCCACTGTAAGAGACTTGAGTTTCCAAGCACCTGCTGTGTGCTGCAGGGTAAAGACCTACCTCCTGTGTAGTAGCCATAGGCATAAAGGATTCTCCCAAGGACCCAGGTGATGCCAAGTCCTGTGGCAATCCGCTAGGGAGAAAGGAGACACATTAAAGGTTTTGGAGACTTGTCGCTTGCATGTGCTTAGTTGTTATAGCAGCCCTGCTTCAAAGAAGCAACCACCAACTACAGTGTGGGTCCTGACCTTGCTAGGACAACTGGGAGTCAGCCCGGTGGAAGTGGGTGACTGATGCAGCATGCTAGAGTGAGTTCTGTATAGGAGGAGTCCTTTTCATGATGCCTATGGGGAGGTAGCATGTGATGTGCTGCAGAGCCTTGCTGTTTTGCAGCACAGCTCTTCCCAAGCAAGAAATGGTTAAGTCATACAGGCAGCAGGTGCTGAATCTCATTTCACCACCCTCCAATGAGTGAGCTAGACCATGTGCCAGGATCTTGGGAGGCAGCTGTTGCCCCAAGCCCCACTCCACTGCCTCCAGCCAGTGTACAGGTTTTCCTGCTGCAGGTGTTACAAACTTCCACCTTGCCTCTTAATTTAGAGCTTGCTGCAATGTGGGTCTAATTTGCCAGATTTGCCTATGCTGCCTCCTTCCCTCTCTGAAAAGGAATATTCAAGAAGGACCTGATTTGTTTATCAGTGGCAAAGAGCGAGCTCCTGGTTTTGGCCTCTCCCACATGCCTGCCTCCTCATGAGTTGTCTACATCTTTCAGTTAAAAATAATCCAGGCTTTTTTTGATCCTTCACACACCTCCTTTGGTGGTGGAAGTGAGTGGGAAGATCACCATGTTCCCCACCTATTCTTATCATACCACCTCTTCATGAAAGTGTGTTTAGAAGAGGGGAAAAGGGTTCCTGTCCTCCACACAACGAGCTGCTGAGTAGCACTACTGTAAGCCCAGCAGGGCTTGGAAGAGCCAGGCAGTTGGAGGGACCTTTCCCACTCATGAACTGGAGGCTGCAAATGCTTTGGTTTGTCCAACAAGGCACCCTTAGGGGAAGGAAAGGGGCCTAATAGCTGAAGCAGCAGTAATGGGTTTATTAAATATTTGTGGTTCCCCCGTACAAGACCTTCTACCACTTACATTTTCAGAAGAGGCACAGCTGTGAAGCATGATGTGGCTAGTGAAGCAGCCTGCTGTCTCCAGAGGGGCTAACTTGGCCTCCTGCCCCCCACCCTCCCCAAGTCAGGGAGCAAGAGCAGAGTTCGGACCTGCACCATCACTTACCGGGTGGTAGACCCCACCAGTGGCTAAGAAGAACAGGAAGGCAGGGTAAACTTCCAATCTGAAAATGAAAGTGAGGTGGTTGTGTTTGTGTTCCAAGTTGCTTACAAAGAGGAAACTCCAGAAACACAGAAGCTGCGAGCATCCCCTGCCAAGGTCTCTGTTGGGCCTGACTCATGAGTCTCTATGCTCAGGAGAGCTGTGCTTGATGCTGTGGCCACAGATGGAGATAAGAGGAAATCTGAACATGCACGGACTTCTAGGGACTTCTGCCCTGCCTGTGCCTCTCTCCAAGGCCACCCACCCTTTCCATTTTGTGCCTTAAGCCACTGCTAAATACTGCTTACCACTACCTAATCCAGGAGGGGTTGTTCCTCCCAGCACCCCTGTGATGCGCTGTTGCAGCCTGGTCGACATTAGCTTCTCCCCAGGGAGATGTGGGCAATACAACAGATCAGCAGCCCCCAGACAGGCTCCTCTGGAAACTAGATTTCTAGTGTTTTAAGATCCACGCATGGAGGCAAAGAGCCAGGCACTGGGGAAGAGGAGGCTGTTTCACAGCCCTGTCTCATGGTTTAAGGCATGATAAGGAGCCAGCACAGCCTTGCTGCTAAGCATTACATGGCCATGTGTTTTCCTCAAGCGTTGAGCCTGAAACCAAGCACTTGGCAGCAGCAAGCCTCTAGCTGTAGGCCCTGCTCCACAGCCTTGTGGATTTTCAAGGTCTGCATTCATACATGGTACTCACGTGTTCTGGTGTGCACGCTGGATGCAGTTGAATATATGCCCGTGTTCAGGGTCTGTGCTGTACATGGTTGGATACTGCCAAAAAAACACAGCAGCAAAACATGAGCAAGCGCAGTCTGGGCTTGGGAGCCTGTTCTCCAGCAGTGAGGAACGTGCCCTGCTGCACCTTTCCCCAGGGAGCCCTGAGCTAAATGGGTGCTTTCAAGACAGACTTGCATTGGCAAGTTAGAGTCTCTCTCCTGCCCCGTGGTCCACAGCTGCTTTTTTGAAATTGCCGCTTGCCCCAGGCCGGTTCCTGAACTCCCTGAGCAACCTGACGGCACCCTGGAGCTGGCCCTGCTTCGAACAGAAGATAGCCAGGTACTGGGTGACCTCCCTGTTTAAATCCTATCTCTCTGCAGGTAAGAGCAAAGCAGCGTTACTGAGGACATGTCCCCATGTCTCCTCTGGGGAGCTGGCAGCAGCCCATCGTGCAGGAACAGGCTGGGAGGACGCTGCCTTCCTCACCACTGCAGAGCTGAGCAGCCAGCTGGAGCTGCCGCTTGGCTGCAGAGGCTTCTCCCAGCCTGAAATCCAGTGCTCTGTGCACCATATGCACTGGGCGCATTTGCTATAATCCTGACTTCATGCAGTAGGGGCGGGGTCACCCCAACAGGCATCCGGGGCCTGCAGCACACGCCCGGGGCTGTCCTTGCGCCCAGCCCTGCTTGTCACATCCCTGAATGACGCAAGGAAAGCAAAGGCGTGTTTGCCCTCAGAGCCAAGTGGCACAGCACTGGCTGCCCCCACCCAGCCCACAGTCCAAGCTCGCGGGCTCCTCGATGGACGCCGCGGGAAGGTCACTTTGAAATACTTCTTGTGACAGGGCTCACGTGCTGCCTCTGAGCTTGAGAAACCCTCCTGTCACTTTTGTTCCACCGCAATCCCTTTGTCCCCAGCACTGCTTTGGCCTTATTTGCAGCAAAAAGGGCTGTGTGGTTTCTTGCTCATCAGTGTTTCTGAGCTCAAAGCCTTGTGCTTTCAGCTGTCTCGGCTCGGTGCCAAATGCCTGATCTGCCAAACCCCAAGCTCTGTTGTGCCGTCTGCTCCAGTCTGGAGAGCCCGAATAGCAGCTCCATCCCTTCTGCATCCGTGTGGTGGGGCAGGAAGTGTCAGCAGGTCACCCAAAAATATGCAAGGTGTCACCTAGCTCGTCTGCAACGTCCCCTGCAGACCAGCTCTGACCTTCCCGTTCCTTCAGCCTGAGCACTCACCTCCACCTTGTACTTCTTGCGGGCCTTGGCCACTTTCATTGCGAGGTGTGTGACCAAGACGAAGCTGGCAGCCCCCGTCAGGATGACGTAGCCATACTCCTTTGAGAGAACAGCCATCTTGGTGCTGTCAGGAAAAGAGAGCCTGTTACTATTTTGGGGTGTGACTGGAGAAGTGGCAGCTCACTACACACAGATATGTGTGTGTGGAAGAATTGCTGAGCGTGGACCTAAGGCCTCCCAGCACGGGGACTGGCTGAAGGAAGGGAGAAACGATGAGTTGGGGAATTTTCATCTCTTGGTGCCTGCTGGGTATTAAGCAGCACAAACCAAGGGCTCTCTGCTCAGTTCATGTCAAGCAAGCCTTAAAATCACTGAAGTGTTGGTGCGAGGCAGTGTCTGGAGGACCCTAGTCTGGCCTCCGGCTCAGAGCAGGACTACAGCCAACAGTAGGTCCCATCAGCTCTGGCTGTGGCTGGCTAAGTCCCACGGCCTCACTGACACGCTGCTGTGCCTGCAGGGTTTCTCTGGAGAGGCGGACAGAGGCTGATTGTTCACAGCCACTTCCAACACCAGAGCTAGGGGCCACCAAATGAAGTTGGGAAACAGATTCAAAACAAACCAAACGAGGTTTTTTTTTTCATGCAGTGGGAAACAGACCTGTGGAATTCCCTGTCGAGGGATGTTGTGAGTGCAGGCAGTTTTCATAAACTCAAAGGGACACTGGGCAAGCTCTAGGAATGAGAGGTGAACTGGGAATTACAACACAGACAAACTTGAACTGGCTCAGAAATCCACGGAGCTGAAAGGAGCTGGGCCACATGAATGTTAGTTTGAACCACTAAGGTCATCCTTACATAAAATAATAATAAAACCTACCACAACAATAACAGCAATAATAACCGAACCTTTTCAGTAAAGAGGCACTGGCAAGATGAGTGATGCTCAGCCCCGCAGCT